TAAGCATGGATAAACATAACCCGGATGGGAATAGAATAGAAATATATGCTTTATTGTCATTGAAAATTTTACAATTTTATGGACGAAGCTTACAAAGACTCAGAGGAAAAAGACAATAACAAATTGCATAATCAACCGTAGGAACTAATAAGTTAATATAGATTTGTTTACTAACTGTGAACGGCATCGGTAAATAAACATCAAAGGTTGAATTTTCGTTTAGTAGTCATGATAAGGTCTTGCTGGAAAGACATGTAGGTATTTACGAACTAAGCAAACAGTTTCTAAAATATATAAAGAAGGAAGTAAAATCCCGTGATCTTTGAAGTAGACTCTGCAATGTGTTGTTCTTCTGAGGCCAAACAGATACTTTATTACTTTTTTTATTTAATAATATCAACGATTGGGCAGCTGTACCAGAACCCCCAAAAGGAAGACCACATCGAAGATGAGACTCAAAGAAAGAAAAATATGCAATTTTGGAAGATTCTAAATTGATCGCCTTCGAAACAGATCTTATTGCATAGCAGGCTGAGGCTAGTTTGTTACTTAACAAATCGATATGAAGGGACCATTTAATGTTGCTGTCTCAAAAAATACCAAGAAATTTTACAGAATCAGCGGTACTGATCTGGCTGTTACGAGTTGAAGAGCTCCTTGATAGGATAATGCTACTGTTTTATCCAGGTTAAAAGAAAGTAAATTAGAGTCGGACCAGGTTAAGCTGAAATGTTAAATAAGTTTTTAAAATGGAAACTTTTAAATACAAACACATATAAAAAACAAAACGACTCAAAACAAGAATTAGAAGAGTTTAAAAAATATGAGACAAATTTCCTAATAAATTGTGAAATCTCAAGCACTGTTGCAGAAAAAAGTACCAAAGGCCAGAATATATTCAAAGAAATACAAACAATTCGCTTTTACATTATACTTTTTGAACCCAAAACTTAAAACTTTTCCCTCAGATACATTTCCAGTTCCCTCAAATACATTTTTAAATTTGTTAGGATTATTGTTATCAGTAGAATTTAAAATACCAAACAAATTATTAAATTTTTCAATAATTTCTATTGTTCCCAATGCATCTGATGGAAGAATACCAAGAGAAATATATGTATACATAGAACTTGCAACAGTGTTACTTAAAATTTGAGATGCTAGTTTTACTCGCATTTTTTCAAAAGATGTAGGATATATATGGGAGTGTGTTAGTTTTGGTGCACACTTATAGAACTGCTTTTTATCTTTATGATAAAAAGTTTCTATAAATGATCAAGATGTTTTTTTATCATCAAAATAAAAAAAAAACATTATTAATTAAGTTATTTCTAGTGGCTTTAATTAAATGACATGGATCAAATATATAAATAATTTTTTGTCCATTGACATCAAATTCTGAGTTAGTTAGAGAAATCCCCAGTAATTTACTCAATTTTAGAAAATTCGATCCCATATCAGTAACAAGACAATTCACATATAAACCTGATTGAAATAGTTTAGAAATACATTCTTTTGTAATAGGAAGAAGATGATTTGCTTCAAAGGTAGTGTTTACAAAGAAATATGCTAGTTGTTGTTTCCAATTTGAAAATAAGCCTCAAACCATTATCACAAGTACATTTTGTGCAATCATTGATTCCTTTTTCCCATTTCCTATATCATATAGACCAACAATCTCATCACGACCTGTATCAAAAAATAAATTACTTTTAATAGACATTTCATCAATACAAATACTACAGTGCTTGTCCTAATCTAACATTGTGTTCACTTTTAACTTTAGGGCATCAAATATTTGGTCATTATTCAAACCAGGTTTACAGACCAAATTTTCAGTAATTTTTTGAAGACTTCGTTTTGAGGGCAAATACAATATTCTTTCCATAAAAGCATACACTCTTGGGCCCAAAAAATATAGTGTTAATGCAAATTGTTTATATTCATCAGAATACCTTCTACTTTTTGGACATTTAGTTTTAAAAATTGCTTGAGCTTTCACTATTTGTGCTAGGGATTTGTTTAAAAATTTGTCACACATTTGAAAATTTTTTTTTTAAAGATTTATTGTCTTCCTTCTGTTTGGAAGACGCATATGCTTTCTCTGCACTTGCACGCATTTTTTTTTATTTTCAATCTAAGTTTCCTTTTTCTTGGTGTACCTCCCGACAACTTGAAGGGGGTTAGTGTTGCAGCTGTGAAAAATGTAGCTGGAGTATGGGGCCTAGGTGGGCTAGACACTTCCTGTCTATTAACATCTGAAATATAAAAATATATTTAATAACCAAATAACATATAAATGTTCAAAGTACTTAGATATGTTAATGCTTATTAGTGATTAGTTGAATGCATAATACAGTTGTAGCAATAAATAAAATTACCTGTTACCAGAAACTCTTCCATCAAAGTATCAGGTATAGTATTATGGTTTTTATCAGTTGGACTATTAATTACTTCCTGTACATTATAGGTTTCAGTGGTACCTAAAACCAGGACATAAATATTACTCAGTATGTAACCATAAGATATATTATGTTCTTAATAAGGCTGATAAAAGATCATTAAATTTCACAATTCCAGATCTTGTTTATATTATGAAAAACAAACAACTTTGTATATAGTTGTAAGTAGATACTGATTTTTATATGAGTTTTATAATAAAGCACTATAATTGTGAATAAATAAAAAGTATCTACCTTCCAGCCTTATGACTTTCTTTAATGGTTCGTCTGTGTGTTTTGAATATTGGCTGTAAATACTTCCGTGTGTTTCCTTTGTACATGTACACCGGTTCAAAATGTTTTTCGCACATTCTATAATTAGTATGCAATTCAGCACCCTTGGAAAGCAGACCAGATCATACCTATTGGCCGCTTTCAGCCATAATTCAGCTCTAAAAAAAAGTGTATTTAACTAAAATATAAACATTCCAGACAACATTTGTAATACGTTTGAATTTAAAATTTAATTTGTTTACCTGCTACGATCAGTCGGTATTGAAAAGAGACTAATTCCTTCCCCAGTTTTCTATGGGCACCCACGAACAACACAATAAAATCCTCCCTTTCGTGCAGCCATCACAATAAGTTTATTACACAAATATATTAAATTAACTAACTAACTAAATAACTTCTCAATACAATACAATAACACTTCTCAATATATAAACAAACAAGGCATCAACACTTGTCAACACTACTAACACTATGGCCGATTTCGCACATGCGCAAAGAAATTTGGATTGCGAAAAAGCCCTCCGTTTCGCTTCTTGTTGTGATTAGTATTCTGTGGCTCAATGAACTAAGTTCTTTTTCTAGGTTTAAATTCTTGACATTTAAGGTGCTGTAAATCACTTTCTACTTTATAAATAGAATTTGTTTAAAGAGATCACAATCACTGCAGAAAAATATAACTGATCATTGTTTTAATAATCTTAATGGTTAGTTTGTTGTAATTTGAAATGGTAACAAAAGTTACAAAGAATAATCAGTTTCTATGCTTGAATGTTCTTGCAAGTTCCACGATTTGTATCCATACTTTTATTGATGGCCTATTTATCAATTCCAAAAAAACTTTGTTTTCTTATGATAATTACCTAATCATGTTTGTTTTAAAAATAATTGGAACCATAAATTTGTACCCGATAAAACTTCATTTTTAGGAAGATATAAAACATTAGTTATAAAAGATGGGTACTTATAAATTATTTATAGTTAAAAATTTACAATTTAACACAAAAGTGTTAAAAGAAAACAACGAAAAGTTAGGTTATGTGTAAACTTGTAAACAATGACGTATAATATATAGACTCGGTGAACGCTTTAAAAAGTGTCCAAAACATGAATACCTTTGTTATTGTTTATTGTTTTGATACGAAGATGCACGAAGTTCATGATTTCTTACGAAGCATCACGAAGTTGATCTTGTGTTTGAAAACATCATGGACGTACTCCATTTTGTGTGACAAGCAAATTTTATTTTAAATTGTTGATAGTTATTTACTTACTATTTTAGTAAAATGCCATACTATTTTATCAAAATAATTATTTCTCTTATAGACGGGAACAAAAAGAAATCATAAATATTTAATTTTAATTAAAAAAATAATTATTGTCATTAACTTATAAATGAGCACGCCGCTGTTGTAATAAACATACCTTCAACCTTCAGCCGAGATCTTTCGGACACTCGATTCTATAGCGAGAATAGGGGACTGCGTAGTCTATATATTATACGTCATTGCTTGTAAACAATGACGTATAATATCGTCATTGCTTGTAAACATTAAAAGTGATCAACTTGTTTTGAAAAGAAGAAAATGAAAAGGAAGGTTAGATGTGTTTAAGAAGAATATAAGAAATGGAAAAATAGTTTGGCAACGATGCACCTGATCGTTGTGTGACGTCATCACATTCGTATCGTAAAAAAAGTATATACCCAATGACGTATAATATATAGACTACGCAGTCCCCTATTCTCGCTATAGAATCAAGTGTCCGAAAGATCTCGGCTCAAGGGTTAAGGTATGTTTATCACAACAGCGGCGTGCTCATTTATATGTTAATGACAATAATTATTTTTTTAATTAAAATTAAATATTTATGATTTCTTTTTGTTCCCGTCTATAAGAGAAATAATTATTTTGATAAAATAGTATGGCATTTTACTAAAATAGTAAGTAAATAACTCTCAACAATTTAAAATAAAATTTGCTTGTCACACAAAATGGAGAAAATGTTTTCATACGTCCATGATGTTTTCAAACACAAGATCAACTTCGTGATGCTTCGTAAGAAATCATGAACTTCGTGCATCTTCGTATCAAAACAATAAACAATAACAAAGGTATTCATGTTTTGGACACTTTTTAAAGCGTTCACCGAGTCTATATATTATACGTCATTGTATATACCGCTCTTTCCTTGTCCAAGCATGTCGAATTTGTCACAGCATAAATCTGGCAACGTTCACTTTTAAAAGTTTCAAATTTGACATTTAATATAACGATATTGTTTATAAAACACAGAAATCATTTTTTTTCAAAGTTTTCAAAAGAACGTTTTTTATAAATATTTACATTTTTCGATACTATATTATGGATAATTGGCTTAATTACACTTAATTGACTTTATATACAAAATGTCTTTAGTATCATCTCCATATTTAATAAGATTGCAAGAGTTAAAATTATGGCAAGGAAATTATGATAATTTATTGCAGAAACAACAAGAAAAGTCGTCAGAATATATAGATTTGTCAGATATTGATTCCCTGGATGGTGTCACACCAATGAATGAATCAAAATCTCCAAAAGTTTCCAATGATATTATTAATTGTGCTGATTTGGACAGACAAGTAATATTGCCGACTACAAAACCCTTTAATGAATTGCTTGAAGATAAACTTGCAAATGATCAACCATATTTACCACCTGCCAAACAAAAACAACCATTTTTAAAGAAAGGAGCAGGACTAGCAAGATACAAGATAACTCCTAAAACATATACTTCCAAAACGAAAAATAAAATAACAACAGTTAATACAAATCAAGAAAAAGAGAATTTGATAGCACCTAATGAAATTCTAAGTCAAGAAGACCAATCTATAACACCTTTAAAAGTACCAGAAGTTAGTATTAGATGCAAAGCTAAGTGGACTAAAGTTGATAATGGGGATGAGAGTTCATTAAAACATCAGGATGAGAGTAAATTTAATTCAAAATATTTTATTGAAAAAGTAAACGAATTTTCTCATTCATTCTATAGCCCCAATCATTGTAGTGGTGACAGTCAAATGTAAGTAAACAATCAAATAATTTAGGACTGAGTAATGTATTTTCAATTGCACTTCACCAGATAATTATTTGATTATTTGTGACTTTTCAGATATAAGTACCTCACTACTTTAAAAAATCTTCACTTCTTGAGAAATTGTTATTGTATTGTATTGTGAAAAAATGCTAATTACTTACTTATTTTAGTCACAGTAGTCTCAAATTTGAACACTGGATTGTGGTTTACTTACTATTCACTTTAAAATCTATATGTTTACACAAGGATAAAATTATTTCAATCCTTCGATTCTTGTAATCCCTCCAAGTCCTTGCATACAGCAAATACATCAAGTAATATAATTTAGACAATAACATTAATTTTACAGATCAACAAAATTATTAAATATTGTATAATATTGCATCATCATATAACAGGGGTCCTACGGCGATTGCCGCTTCCCGCATTTCAGCCTCTATCTTTTCCTATCTCTCCAATCTCCCTCTTCTAAGCCTCTAGATTGCATTGTTTTTGTAATTTCTCTTCTCCAGGAATTTGGTGGTCTTCCCCTTTTCCTTCTTTCTGGCGGAACATACCATTGTAATTGCCTTCCTTGTATTCTATCTGCTAAGCCGGACTCCTAAGCCGTAGAGAAGGCAACTTATCTAAGAGAAGGATACTCTGATTTAAAACCCTGGTCCTCCAAGTTGGGGGTTGAGGCATCGGGCCAACTCCTCGATACTCGGAAAAAATGATCAAAGTTAAAAATTTCAGCAAAAAGCCTTGGAATTCGGACGGATTAAACTATAACGTATAATATTGTTTTTATTAAATTAAATTAGCTATTTTATCAATCATAATCAGGGTGATGCATTAAGTAATTTTCTAATACTCTGAAAATGTTATCTTTTGAAAATCCACTACCTACATATCGCTGGTGACCTGGCAATACCTCCTAAGTGATGTCAAACACTTTTTTCAGGAGAAACAAAAAACTGATTAAATCGTTACTATAAGGACTTTTTTTAATATTTTTTAAGTCAGTGGTTTAAATAATATAAGCTATAACGTTGTTTTGAAATAAAATAGTAGAATTGTTAAATTATGTATTTATTAGCACACTAAGATATATTGATTCTTAAATATTGTCAAATGGAATATTTTTTAAACACTTTATTTTATCTATAGGAGAAAACTTTTTTTTCAAACTTAAAAATTATTTCTTAAAACAAAAAAAAAGTAATAGAAACAAGTTTGTTTTAGGGTATTTTGTTAAATATGCACACATATTTTTTAAAATAATGATTCGAAACTTCAAAATTATTCATGTAAAAGTGCATCGTAAAATGCATGCGTATCTTTGGGAAGAACTGATTTTTAACTCCTGCAGATGTTGCCACTTTTCAGACTTAATTTTGCATGGTCCTTGTAACAGTTTGGGATATTCCAATATTGTTGGCATAGTTTTTGGTCTACATGGGAGTTCTTTGTATTCATCCTCATAATCTAATTTTACTCCTATAGTGCCGCATGGATCATATTGAATACTCTTGATGTCATTGATTACTGGATCGTTGGTTTTTCTTCCAGGCTTAAAGAAGAGTATCTTAAATACTTAGAGGAGGAGAAATCTTTGAAAAATGAAGATTCCAGCAGTCAAGTTCTGTAAGGGGCAGGAGTTTCTCTCGCTTCCTTCGTTACTGACTCATAATCGCTAGGCAAATAGATTTCTCTATGCCTAAGACATCTTTCTATAACGCTATGTACCGAATCACACTCCATCTGAGTGTGACCCGGCTCAAGAAATTTTTGGTATACAAAGATATTGTATCTCATAGCAAAATTTAATAGTGCATTAGCTAAAACACTGTTTCTGTTCTGATATCCACATCTATCCGAGAACATCACGATTGGTGTTTTAGAATCAGTCAAGCAATACGTCTTCAAGTAATGCATAATGCAACTTGTGAATGTTGATGCTTTAATTATATTATTCTGATCTTTAGAGAACCTTGTCTCGCAAGATCTTTTCTTTTTATATGCAACTAATATTCGTCTTCGGAAATATTTCCATATTTAAACGAAAAACAAGTATTACACTGGTCTTTTTTTGCCTTGTATAGTCACAAGTTCTTCTCTTTAAACTTCTTAGAAAAACATTTCTTCCCAATGGAGTTACTTTTTTGTCGTTGCAAAAGTCATGACAGTAGACACTGTAAAGACTTAATCATACAAACACGAGATTTTAAACAAAGGTGTATTTATATATAGGAGGTATTGCCAGGTCACCCGCGATATACAATTTTTTCTTGGGTAGAAATAATAGGCTTTCTTTAATAATATAATTCATTTAAACTGTTTCCCATTTAATTCTGATAACTTTATTACTGGATGACCAAGTAAGCAAAGATATCTATTGTGACTTATGTATATTTATTATGATAAAATTATTTCAATCCTTCGTTTCTTGTAATCCCTGCAAGTCCTTGCACACAGCAAATACATCAAGTAATATAATTTAGATAACAATAACATTAATTTTACAGATCAACAAAATTATTAAATATTCTATAATATTGTTTTTATTAAATTAAATTAGCTATTTTATCAATCATAATCAGGGCAGTTTAGTAATTTTCTAATACAGTAAACCCTCGATATAACAGACTAGTAAGGGGGTGGGGTGTCTGTTAAAGCCGAAAGTCCTTATATAAAAATATATTTAAAATAAATCAGAAAACTTTTTTTTTAACTATGTTTATGCTCTGTATTTAGATATATACAATATATAAAAAATACAAAATACAAACAAATTATATTTAATTGTCTTCGGACATTCGTTGTGAAGTGACATTGCTGTTGATATCGAATATCGACGCGCTTCTCGTCGGTAATCCTGTTTTGAAAAAGGAATCAAGTTTGCAGTTTTCATGTTTGTTTTTTTTATGATCAAAACTCTAAAATTACAAAAATCCATAGAATACAGTTGAACTTCGTTATCTGATTAATAATCAATAAATATTATTAGATCGTCGAGATACTATCTTACCTCTGATGTCTTCATTTTTAGTAGTGTTGTTTTGTCTTCTTTTTCGTTATCTTCACTTCCATCCTCATTTTTTAGATTCATAACTTCAACTGCTATTTCACTTTCAGTCAAGATGTTATACTCAGGATCACCTTCATCTATTTCTAGCTATTGTAAAACATTTTTTTCAGCTACATGTTCTCCAGCATTATTATGTATTGTGCTATAGAAATCAGTAACTTTCAACCCTTCTAAATCTATGTCTGCATCTTGGTTATCAAAAAAATTCTTCCAACCATTTTTTAATGTTTGCTCTTTCACCTCCTCCCATGGTGCAGCAAAATTAAAAATTGTTTATTTTAAATTTTAAGGACCTTAAGTTTTGCAAGGTACAATATCCTCTTATATCTGCTGCATTATCTCCATCGTGCAATACAACCATTACTTCATCTAAAAACTTTTTGCCATATATTCGTTTGGTTGCCAAAATTATTCCCTGATCCATGGGTTGAATAAGCGATGTTGGTATTTTTTGGTAAAAATGTACAGCTAAAGTTGCCATCTTCTGAACGTAGAATATTTTCAGAGGGATGCGCAGGAGCGTTGTCTAAAAGCAATAAACATTTCACCTATTCCGGCGGTATTCCCAATTTCTTCTCTTAAAATTTTCTCACTGAAAGTACAAATTCTTTGAAAACCCAATTTTTGAAAATATCTGAGCTGAACCATGCCTTATTAGAGTTCTATTATGAGACGGGCAGATGATGCATTATATCTTTTAAAACTTTAGGTTTACAAGATTTGTCGACTGTCCTTGCTGAATTTTCTTCCAGAATTCGATTTTTCATATTTGGAGGTGTGTGGTTTCAGGCAAAGTACGCCATAACAAACCAGTTTCGTCAGTATTGTAAATCTGAGACTAATAGCATGTCGTTACTTATATGTTCCACTAATTTTTGCCTAAAAGGTTTTATCTCTTCTTTTGGTGCACTTAAATTATTATATTAAATTATTATATTGACAACTTTTTTTCCAATTTAGATGTTCAAAAGGTAAGTGTATGTGACACATTTCTATCGGATCATACTTATCAATTATGTGCTTTTGATATGAAAGTTGCTGGAAAAAATCCTCAAACTGTTTTTACCAGAAACTTTTGCGATGCCAACCTAATAACTTTTCAAAATATTTTAGCTAATATTGATTGGAGTGATCTATATGTGGCTAGTAGTTTTGAAGAAAAATTTTCAATATTTTATGATACTTTCTTATATTATTATAATATTACTTTCTTAAATCGTAGAGTAACTACCAGACCAAAACAAAAAACGTGGTTTGCACCTCATATTAAGGGTTTGCATGATCAATTGTGTCAGATGAATGTATTAAGAAAACAACTCAATAACCCAGAGTATTCGGAACGATCATCGAGCAATAAGACAAAAGAGGGAATCTAATCCTTATGAAAAGGAGACAAAAAAGTGGCCTCTGATGGCGGACATATCCGAAAATGCGAATGCGCGAAATTTAAATTTTCCGACACTTATCAACAGTAGCTATATAATATGTTTCAAAATGTGTCTTAGACGAGAAAGTTTTAATTAATTATTAATGATAAGCGTGTAAAATGCGACACAATTGTTAAAAAACTTCAATATAAATAAGATTTCATGTGACATTTGGGATAAACAATAACATAACCCAACTAAATTTGATGTCAAACAAGGAGAGAGACTCTCTTTCCTTGTTTAAAGTGGCCTCTAAAGATCGCACTTCCTGTCTAACAATATGTTTGCCCCCACTACCTTTACATTCCCTCTATTGTCTTTTTGCTCGATGGGAACGATACAAGAAATTTAAACAAGAATATCAAACAATTGTTAAAAAACATAAAAATGAACAATATGATAATCAATTTAGAAATAGCAAAAATGTAATGAAAGAAAGTTGGAAAATAATTAATAAAAATAGAGGTAAAAACTGTCAATCAAATCAA